TCCGGGATCTCATCGTCACCATCGACTTTGCACAGCGCCTGCAGATGAAACTCTGCATTCCTTCGGAATACGTCGATATCGCCGGTATTACCGGGAAAGTGTTGCGTGCAGTTGACGGCTTGTCCATTAGGGAGGACATACACCTCTACCTTGTACCCATGCAAGTGATATTTCTTGCTGTAGTAGAGCGCACGCTCCTGCATGCGACCAGCGGGCATGTTAGACTGCTGAAAGGTAACTTCGGTCGCATAGCGGGCATAGGGGTAGTTTGTGAAGGCTTGGCCACCCAGGACGAGCTTCTTCATCGGGAACCTCTCCAGTGCAGATGCTACCAGCGTCTCGTACAGGAAGGGCGACAGCACCGTTGCAAACTTCGTCACCATCTTCTGGAACGAAGGCGTCTTCACCCGAAACACCGCCGCCACCACGTCCCACTTGCCGCAGTTCTTCAGCACAGTAAGCAGCATGAAAAACACATCCTTGCCGCCGAAGGACGATCGGCGACCACGTCCCGTGTTCCAGTTCACTGTCATGTGGTCGCGAATCATCCTCCACAGCCGCTCAAACTCCAGCCAACCGAAGTTGGTCATCTCGCGAATACTCTCTTCCCTCGAGTTCAGATACGAGTCGTAGACAGGAGACGGCGAGTCCGCCTCATCGTCGGTATCAGCGCGGGGCAAGAGGTCGACAGCGGCTCGATCAGCTAGCCGATCCTCGTTGATGCGGCGCAGAGTAGCAACACTTTGCAGCGCGTGCTCGGGGGTGATGGGCTGCTGGCGGCGAGTCGCGGCGGTGCGGGTTTGAGCGGCAACCATGGTCGTGTGTCCTTTACTCGGAGAATTGGAAAGTGAAGGCCTCAACTGGCCAAAGAGCTAGTCTTGAAGCATAGCCTTAGACATCACCTATTGCCTCACACGTTGACTCAACTTAAATCTTCAACCAAAGACTCGTTTACTAAACGAAGTGTCAGTGGTCGATCACGAGCAAAGTGAAACAGTGTAGGACGCCGGTGGTATCCTGTTGTAATGCATAACTTCGAAGCACCTCATTAACTGACGTGAAGGTCTATTGAAGGACTTAAGGAGCAATTAAGGCTGCCTGACAACGCCTAACACAGCACGGGAAACAACATACAGTAGTACCTTCGTAAGACTATGATAACATCAGTTACATGAAGACGGAAGCAAGCATACGTACGATCAGTGCAGCAGTGAGCTCATTGAGCTTATACCGCCTTGCAGACGAGGCAACCAGAGCGCTGCTTTTTGCAGACTGCCCTCTCCACTCAAATTTTGTGACCTGGCTTATATTTGCAATCTGAGACACTTCAATGTCTTTACACCTTTACATGTTTTGGTTCCGGACACACAGATTTTGATACAGATATCCGGTGTGGTTATCCTTTCCCGTCGTTTTATCACCCTTTAATCCAGCCTACCCCTAATGATTAAACCGTTTTTTGTAGGTTTTGGAAGGCACTCAGTCGAACCGATGAATTAGTAGTCGAACCGATGAATTAGTAGTCGAACCGATGAATTAGTAGTCGAACCCATAAATTAGTAGTCGATAAATTAGTAGTCGAACCGATGAATTAGTGAAAGCAAATTTCCTATCGTGAAATTTTTTTTTATATAATACAGAAATCAGTATGGCAAACTCACCTGAGCAATATCTTCCGGAGTACTCAACCACCAAGCAAGAATGTCCTCGAACAGTTTCTCGAACAGCTCGGGCTCAAGCAGCAAAGTCAACGGTCGCTTCACGCTCAACTAGCAATGGCAATGGTCGTTCACGCACAAGCAGCAATGGTGAAGCTGGACGCTATGAGTGCAACGTTCAACGGTGTCGCACTTGAAGAAAAAGCTCCTACTGGTGCTGGCGATGAACGTTTCGAGTATGTAAGCGGAAACGAGTTCGACGATACTGATACTGTGACCTCTCAGTCGGATAACTACGAAGTCTTCGAGGGTGACGATGGCAGCGGATCCAGTTACTACAGCAGCGACTACGATGAGCTGTGATGCTGAAGCTTGGGAAAGAAATTGGCGATGGACTGCATAGTTTTGTTTTTCTTTTTTTTTTTAGGTAGTGAGTGTGCCTTTTATTACAACACTGTCTTTTGCGTCTTTGGAATCCCTTAGAAAGAACATACACAACTATTCTTGACACCACAACCTTGATAGTTTATTTGAGGTGCTAGGAGGTGTGGAGGAGACCCCCTTCGCACCAGGAGCGACGATAGGGTGCGTCGTTGAAAAATGGTAGCTGTTGTTGGAGAAGCGTTAGCGATGGTATCGACAATAAAATACGGTAAGGAAAAAAAGTGACGTCGTAATGTTCCAGTGTATACTACTAACGCTTAGTCTCAGGCTCGTTTTCTTTCTCACCTTAGTTCTCTCTCATTCGCTTGCTGCCCACATCCGAGGACGACTCGTGATCTTGACAAAATTCGTCTTCTGTATCGGTTTCAGAGTCCAAATCCGGTGTCTCTTTGATTTCTTGTGTCTTTAATTCGTTTTCGACGGAAAATGACAGTGGAGTGAGGCGTGCGGCTAGTTCCTTGGTTGAGTTTTTGAGATTATCGTGCAGCTTCTCAATATTATCCAGAATTTGTTTAACATCTCCGGTCGACTGGTTGGTCTGGCAGTGGAGGGAATCACAAAAGAGCAGTCGCTGCTGCACGACGGCCACGACGCGCGAGAGCTGGAGCTCTACGTCTCGAAGCGTGTCCATGAATTCTGTGTCTTCAACGCGAGAAAAAAGTACTTCGTATCTTTTCACGGGACTATTTTGGCTCAAAATTGAAGTTTGTGGACCACATGAAATAAATAAAAGTATCAAAAGATACTTTCCCGCCATTTTTCTTCGTGACAAGCATGACGTCCCGAAGCCTGCCGGAGGTGACGCCCTGCGTCTTGTTTAAGCGCATCGTGCCGCAATTAAGGAAGAAAGGGTGGCAGATCACGCGCGGTCGAGGACTAGAAGAGGGCGACCGTATTTATCGCCCAAACTGCAAGACTAAAGGAAAACTTGCAAAACGCGATGAGGATTATTTCCTCTGCTACGACGGACACAAGGCGAATCGAGCTCTAGTCGA